TGTGAGAGTAGGACTGGAATCTACATCATATTTCTCAATCAAAAAAGGTGTACGACAGGGTTGTGTTCTGTCACCCCTTCTTTTTAATCATTACTCTGAAACGATTTTCGATAGAGCCTTAAGTGACACTGAAGATGGAATCAAATTCAACTGATAGACTATTAGTAATCTTCGCTATGCTGATGATACAGTCATAATAGCTGATAGCCAAGAAGCGCTGCAACGACTAATAGATAAAATAAACACTGAAGGAGAACGACTGGGCTTGAAGATTAATATAGACAAGACGAAGGTAATGGTGGTTTTAGAACACGAAATATGCCAATTAAATATAAGAGTAAAGAACAAGAACATCCAAAAGGTCCCCAAGTTCATATATCTCGGTAGTTGGATAACTGAAGATCTAGATCCAGACATAGAGATACGTAGCAGGATTGAGCAAGCCAGAACAGCATTTACTAATATGGGAACCTTGCTAAGCAACAGCAGCCACAACTGAACGCTTCGATTGAATAGATTGAAGGCCTTTAAAATGTGGGTATTTAGAAGACTACTTAAAATTCCCTGGACAGATCACAACAAATGCGAAGTATTAAATCGAATGGACAGAGAACGAGAATTGCTGTCAATAATAAAAAGAAAAAAACTGCTTATCTGGGTCATATATTTTGAAATTCCAAGTACCAGTTCTTAAAGCTTATTCTCTCTCTTCAATCCTGACCCCCTAGGGGGAGTGTAGTGGACGACGTGATGTCGTGTATTGTCCGTCTCCAGAGATCTCTGTCTCTGGTCATTTCTTTTAATACATGCATAGGTCTTTGGCATATTCCTGTAATTTGATCTATCCATCTTGTTGGGGATCTTTCTCGTGATCTTCGGCCTTCTACATTTCCTTGTATTATGAGTCTTTCCATGTTTTCTGTGTTTGCTCTCATAACATGCCCAAAATATTTTAATTGTTGGAGATGGACTTTACTAGAGAGTCGTTGGCTAACTTTTAGCTCTCTTAAAATTGAATTATTTGTTCTACGGTCGGTCCAAGGAATTCGTAACATTCCTCTCCAACAGAACATTTCAGTGGCGTCTATCTTTTTTCTCTCCGATTATCTCAGAGTCCAAGATTCACATCCGTAGGTCAGTATTGGGAATATTAAGCAGTTGATCAACCTCATCTTTATCGCTCTTGAAATTTGACAGTCCTTCCATATTTTGGTCAATTTTGCTGTGTCAACTTTTGCTAGATCACATCTACGTTTAATCTCTTCTTGTAATGACCCTGTGTTTGTGATTCATGATCCCAGATATAAGTATGAGCTCACAACCTCGAACCGGTTAATTGTGGTTATGTGTGGATGATTGTTGTGTAGTCTATCTTTGTCTTTGATATGTTTAATTGCAGACCAAATATTTGACTTTCGTTTTCGATCAGTCGTATAAGTTCCATCAGCTCTGCTTGACTATTTGCAAGAAAGGGCTGTGTCATCTGCGAAACATAGGTTGTTTAGTTTATGACCATTTATTGAGATGCCCTTTTTCCATCCTTCAAGTGCTCTTCGCATAATATACTCCCCATATATGTTGAATAATTGTGGAGATAGTATACATCCTTGTCTGACACCCCGTTCTGGATGAAACTCGTTCGAAATTGCGTCAAGTACTTTAACTGATCCAGTAGTGTGTTCATATAGTTCAGTTATATGTCTCTCAATTTCTTTGCATATACTTTGATAGTACTGTTTTTTGTCGGCCTTACATCTTCGTTTTATTTCTTTATTGAGGTTTCTTAAACTAGCTTTTTCCCTTTCACTATGTACACCACCTTTACAAAGATTTCTTCTATTCTCAATTATTTTAAGATTTTCATCTGTTATCCAGTGTTTCCGTTTCACCGGATTATCTTTCTTTGAGCGATCCACTGGTGTTGTTACGCAATGTTTAACAGTCTCCCATATTTCTTGTGATGTTCCGTTATGAAGAGACGGCATACTTTTCTGTACTTCCTGTAGAAGGTCGTCTTTCTTTCTTAGTTCTATCCTCTTTATCTCTCTTTGTTTGTTGGGTGCTTTAAGTTTAAGCATTACTTTAGCTACGGTATAGCTTTACTACTAATTGGATAGGGCACCATAAGAAGAAGACTCTTTGAATTTTTCTTGATGTTTGTAATAAAGTCAGTTTTATTGAGTGCTATTTTCAGGTTTTGTCAGAGCTTTTGCGGCAATTTATTAAAGGGTGGACAATTGAACTTCAGCTTCATTGATGTTATATGCTAAAAGAATCAGGTTATCGACAAAATCTAAACAGTTTACCTTCACATCATTTCTTTTGAGTTATATTTTGTATTCCATAATTATTTGACCGTATGGTTGTTGTCCATTCTCTAATACTCTTGGATTCTGGCCCCTCACTTAGCAATTTTAAGTAAGAGCCTCCACATTCTTGGCCGCAAACACAAACGGCTTTGATAGATGCGCTGAAATCGCTGCATGTTTGGCTTTAGTTTTGAGTACCAAACCACTGTCATTGGGTAAGCTATCTTTTGTTGCAGCTTCTACTTCCCATTGTCCGTCATATTTGGCTATGTCTTCTTCTATTCCTTCCTTTTTAGCTTGAGATTTGGTCCATCACTTTTGAAATTGTGCAGGATCATCAAAATGTTCAGCTAAGTACACTTTCCTGGGATCTATTGGAACTGGGCTTTCATAAGCAACATCAGGAACTGATTCATCTACTGTTTCATTTGTTATGTCATCATCCTCAGCATTATCACCTATTACTTCACCTATTAATAAAACCACCAAGATTAGAGTTCTTATCCTACAATTCATTGCTATATCCACAAGGCATACAACTCTGGTATTTAATGTTATTCAGAGTTAACTTTCCAAAATTGAATTATGATCTAATACTCTTTTCTAAAACACAGTTAAACAGTAGAGGTAAAATCAGGATTTGAAAGGTAATAGTTTTAACTATCTGTATTATAGAGGAATAGAGCAGTCTCAATTAATTGACAGGAAGTCAGTGGTATGTTGTGTGCCAGAAAAATTCTACAGATTTAAAAGGTAAAGTCTATAAAACCGACATACGTGAAAAAGAAAACAGAAGAACAAATATACTATGTAGAAATTAAAACCCCTATATGGATGAGGGAAATGCCAGAAAAAGATAAAAGAAAAATGAACATAGTAGGGAAGTCTAGATAGTTCCACAATATTATTTTAATATATTTTTTTATTTATATACGTTCATCCATGTATACTTACTTACTTACTTTACTTTATCGTGTCCGGACATGTCATTCATAAAATTTCGGTCCAGTATCGGACTACGTCGGTTCCATCTTTGTTGGCGAGCCACAAATCTTCAAGGGTACATCGATGAGGACAGTTTTTGCATGTAAGAAGATGTTCCATATTCTGTGTTTCTCCACAGTCACAGTTCACATCATCTTGGTCTATTTTTCCCCATTTTGCCATGTTTTATTTTACTGTAGTAACCCCCGTTCTTATCCTATTCAAGGTTTTCCACGTTTTAAAGTCTAGGGTCTGGCCGGTCCATTGAACCTGGGGAAGTGGAAAATACTCAGGTGGTTCATCCTGCACTGTTCCAAGGAAGCTTTTCCTAGATTTTAGTCGCTTTCGTGGTGTTCGAGCTTTGTATAGGGCATGCCGATCGTCCGCGATCTGTTTATATGTGTTCTGCAGCGCCTCTGCGTGTTGAGGGTTCTGCAAAACCCGCTGCTCTATATAGATTTGAAAGTGGCGTTGGTTTCATGCACCCCGTTTCTATCCTGCATGTCTCATTTAGCGCAGTATTAACTTGTTTGGTGTGGGCAGATCTGTTCCAAACGGGGCACGCATATTCAGCAGTTGAGAAACACAGTGCCTGTGCCGTTGTTCTTAAAACGCCAGAACGTGCGCCCCATTTATTTCCCGTTATCTTTCTGAGTATGCTGTTCCTAGTTGTTACTTTCCCTCTTATTTTTATGCAATGTTGTCTGTAGGTGAGGGACCGGTCCAGAGTTACTCGAAGATATATAGGTTGATTTGTGTGTTCTAATGCATTACCATTCCACACAATTTGGAGTTTTCGCTTGGCTTCCTTTGTGCGAAAGTGGAAAGGGCAGACTTGGGTTTTAGAGGGATTGGGTCTCAGAGAATTCTGCAGGTAGTACGCTGTCATTGTTTTGAAGGCAGTTTCGAGTATCTCTTCCACTTCTTCAAAACTATCTCCTTGAGCACATATTGCAAGATCGTCAGCATAGAGGAAGTGCTTGGTTTCGGTCGAAGTAGGTTGGTCGTTTGTGTATATATTGAAGAGCATTGGTGCTAAAACACTTCCCTGTGGGAGGCCGTTTTTTTGAACTCTCCACCTACTTACTTTACCCTCCAGCATAACGAAAAAACGTCTATTTTGCAGTAAGGAATATACGACTTTTCCCAGATGGTGGTCATTGAGAGTGTCGTATAATTTACGGAGCAATGTTTTGTGCCTTACTGTGTCATAGGCTGCTGTCAGATCTACAAAAGCAGCCCCTGTTATAAGTTTTTCTTCAAAGCTCTCTTCAATGTGTTCTGTTAATGCGAGGACTTGACCGGTGCAAGATTTGCCAGGTCTGAATCCTCCTTGTTGTGGGATGAGGTGCTTGTCGACATTTTTTTCTATTCTGGCGAGTATGAGTCTTTCGTATAGTTTAAAAAAGTGACACAATAGCGAAATAGGTCTGTAGCTACTGGGGTCTTCTGGATCCTTTCCTGGTTTTAACAAGGCTATTACTTTAGATTTCCTCCATGATTTTGGAATGTTGCAGGTTTTGCAGCACGTGTTATAAAATTGCAAGATCCAGTTTTTTGCTCCTTGGCCTAAATGCTTTATTTGTTCAGTGCATATATCATCCATACCTGCAGCTTTCCCGTTTTTTAACCTGTTCAGACTGTCGTGGAGTTCTTTTAGTGTAAAAGGAGTTCTTACTTAAAAGTAAAAGGAGGAAGTATACTTACTTATATCCATATTGTACTTCGAAACCATCATAAAGGGACCAAAACGTGTATCCAAGAACAGTCGCATTGTCAATTTCCATAGAATCTCTAATAGAACTAAATATTTTCTGAAAATAAAGAAAACAACAATTTATTTGAACATTAGCAAATAAACCTTTAAGTACATTTTAAGAAAAATGCCACAAAACTTGTGAAACACTCTTAATAAAGTTTCGACGTACACTGCGGGAGCCGTTACCAAAATACTAAAACTGTAGCGAAAATATTTTGCCTACCATATGGGGTGTTAGTATAAGGGCTAGAAAATTGGGGACAGAAACTATGGGGGTGGCGATAGGGCAAGCAAAATAAACGCTACTTGTGCGAACGGCATTCAGGGTTTGTTGGGAGAGCTGGGGTCGTGGATAAGTAAATGGCAAGGGGGTTGGGTTAGGGCGACTACAGAGAAAAGAAACAAAAGGGGTACTAACATAACGAGCTGTAATGCCACTGATGATGATGATGATTTACTTTAATGGTTAGTAGTAGTACGCTTCAAATTATTTGCAGTTATGACTCTCATTAAATTATTATTATAAAGTATTTTGTATTGCTTAATTGCGTATTTTCAATTTTAAAAATAAATATTTTTGCACCTTTGCAAGTTGTACAACATTCTCCATCCAATGACTTCAAGGAATGTAATAAGTACTATTATCTTACCTGCATGAAATCTATTCGGTAATGATCTTGGAGGCCTGCATCAGTAGAACCTTTTCCATTTTCAGTTATCATTATCGAAACATTGTTAAAATTTTTTCTAATCCACGATATAAATGGCCTTATTCCCCAAGTAATTCCCTAAAATTTAAAAGTGTAAATGTGTTAGTATACCAGTTGGACTCTTTTTATTTTGTGTCTAAATCTCCCACTCACTTCTCCCTTTATCTACCCGTCTCTAGAATGCTGTCTCTCTTCGTCAATCAATCAATCTTGTTGATCGCCTGAACCCTTCAGGCACTTCTTAAATCTCTTGATCATGTTTCTATGTCTACTGTATTCATCTTCCCCCATCAATAATTCTACGACTTTATCTATTCTTAATTGTATACTTACATTAGGGATTTCTTCAATTGTTGCTCTAATATCGTTATCAAAACCTGGAGGTAGTTTGGTGATCACATTACTAGCATAATGAGCGAGATAACTATTTAAATAAAAAACATCATTCGTGTCTTTGATGAATTTAATTTCTTCTTTCGTGAATTCGGGCAATCTAGAAGAATTTCTTCCTTCTTCGTTAATGCTAATATTTTTGATAGTTTCTATCATGACACTGGGATAATTTCCGTGGTACAGAGGGTGTGCGAACCATCCAATCTAAAATTAGAGTTTATTGTATCTATTATATAGTGAGTTTTAAATATGGAAAGCCTCAATTATTTTATAAACACTTTCGAGATTTATATAAATTTTTGTTTGTGAGGTTTTTGTACTACGGTAGTTCTTATGCGGTAGTTGGTTTCACCCTTTTGGTCACTTTAATATTGAGAAACACTGAAGTAAAATGACACTTTTTAAATTAAAAATAATCAATCACAATTGAATTATGAATAAATTACGTGCTTTCTAGTGAAGGTATACGGGCAACCATATATTGGCTTATAAGTCAGTCCTTACAGTAAAGATCCTGGCCTATAAAGAAAAATTCAAGCGAGCTTGGGATAATATTGCACTTTGGTTGCATTTGTGGTGTGTTGGCTAAATTGTTCAGGATATGATTTGATATAAAATGCATTCAGACATTAAACGTCCGAAAATATTTTTAGACCATCATAAAGAAAATACCTTCTACCTATAATATGTGCATATGGTATTATTTCTGTATTTTTCTTATTGATTGTACATTTGTTTGATATCTTTTAAACAAAAAAAAAACAAAAGAACAAAAAAAAATATTAAAATCCTTTGTAAAAGGTATATATTTAAAAACCCAAATATATACCTTTTACAAAGGATTTTAATAATTTTTTTAATATATGGTATACAGCCAACTACAGGAACGTAGATTCCTTGTGAAAAAAAAACAGATAATATAAATGATCAAAATGAGAAAACTTCAGTATCTGTGACATTTTAGACGTGGAGATAAATACCAATTCAGTTGCAGCTGATCGCGAAAGGAAAGATTCTGGGTAATAGCAGCACTAAGATCAGAAGGGAGTCTTGAAGGAGAAAGTACAGTGAATAATTCGCTTGGAGTTCTGTTCAACCGTTCCTAGGTCGTCGCACATGTCAGTCACATTATTAACAAATATTATTACAATATTAATCAGTCACATTAACATTTTTTGTTGAAGCAGTTCAATGTTAAGAATTCAAAAATTTAAGACAAGACTACGAATTATAGAGATATTATTGGTGAAATTCTACATGATACAAACTTAATACAGTTCTTAATAGATGAACACATTTAGATGATGTTGAAGAAGTCGATAACATTGAAAATTAACGAAATCTTTATCAGCCACTACACATTCAAGCACCAACAAGAGAAGAAGTGCCAAGTGCTGTTTGGTGAATGCAGACTTCAACTCTTTACAAAAGATATTGTTGGGCATTACCAATCTGGATTTACTTGTGGAAAGTTAACTATACACCAAACACACACACACATAGGCAAATTTAAAAAAGTCATTAGACTATAATATCAATACACACCATCTCTTCGTCGATTTCAAAGCAGAATATGAGTTAAAGTTATTTAGTGTTAAAGAACTGCACTGTATGATGCAATTATAGACTTTGGAATCCCAATTCATCATCATCATCCATCATCCAACCTTTATTTATCATGTCCACTGCTGGACATAGGCCTCCCTTAAACTCCTCCATTCTTTGCGGTTTTGTACTCTTTGTTGGCAGCCCAACGTGTAGGTGGTCTTCCTCTACTATGTTTGTCTGCTCTTGGTCTCTAATGTGTAATTTTGCTTGTCCATCGTGAGTCATGCATTCTCGCTACATGGCCTGCCCAATTCCATTTTAGTTGCGCTATGCGTTCGACAACATCAGCAATACTCGTCCTTCTTCGCAGATCTTCGTTTCTTAAAAGCCTTAAAATGTTCAACAGATAATCCAAATTAATAAATTATTCCTATGAGCAAGTCAAATAATTCACATAGCTACATAGCTAGAAAACACAACAAATCCGATGAGCGACTAAATAAAAGGATGCATAGCAATAGCAAAACAGAACTCTTCGTGGGATCATCTGAGCAATAAAAAATTAATAGTATTAATTTACCTTAAGATAGTCATAGTTATTATTATTATTGTAATTTTTCTTTTCGTATTCTTTATGATCAGAAACTTAAAGGAACATACAGAAAATGCCAAAAAAAATGAAAATACATACTCTAAACTGTAAATGTCTTTCAGCTGCTTCTTTGTCCTCAATAGAGGACGTCTTCGGTACAACCCAATCCGCCGCATTTGTTAGTGAAACAGTTCCTAAAAAATGAAAAGTTTTCATTGTCGTGTCATAGTCATATTCCTTTTTTTATTTCTCAGTTTCTCCTTCATTTCTTTATTTAAAACGTCATCGAAATCGAATTCTCAAAATAAACATATGAATTTAAATTGTGAATTGTTTCCAGTAAAAATAGTAAGTTGTATTAAGATGCCCCAACAACATAGCTTCAGAATAATATTGATTCTTATAAACATTATAAGGATAATTTTCAAATTCTAGAGTTTATATAAATAAAACTAAGAATAATATTTTCCATATTTAAAATTACAGATAACGAGAAATCATTCTAAAAAAATTCCGGAAAGTCAATTTATTATTTATTTATTGATAAATATTCATTGCATAAATTGATCGAATAGTTAAAAAAATAACAAAGAAATAAAAATACATTTACATAAATAAATAAATACAGGATGTTTCAAAAAAAGGTAACCCCGTCTCTAGGGTAGGTAAAAAACGATACAGGGCGTTGAAGAAAAAAAAATTACGCATTTTTAACGATTTTGCCGAAACTACTGGCAACATTGTAATGAAATTTTATACGCATATGTTTTGGAAGCTGATACATCCCATGAATTTGTTTTTATATCTTATTCTCATAGAGGGCGCTAGTTACACGGATCGTACTAAGTATTAGTCAATATAACTTTTTTAAGAGTATAATTATTAATCAAAATTTTAAGTAAACTTAAACGTCATTCAATTTTACACGAAAAAGGTAAATACTCGATACTGTGTACCGTTTTCGGAATATTTTGATTTGAAAATTATGAAGTAATAATTGATGCTGGTAGTAATGATAAAATTCTAATAGGTAATTAATTCATACATTTTGACATGTTTGTATTTAAGTGACATTAAACTCCAATAAACGATAGATAACTAATAGTGATAATAACCGTTTGTTAGCAATCTCTAATTATAAATATATCCAATAATCTGCAACATCGTTATAAAACTTGTTTGAACACTGGGCACATTTTCGATATGCTATGTTAAAAATAGAGCTAAGAGACTAGATATCCACTTTATATGTACTTAAATATAAAAAAAATCATGAATACCTTTCTGCGTGGGTCGAAATTCTTCATCATACATATGCCAGACTGCAGCGTGTGCTTTTAATAGGTTATGTCCACACGTATATTCCCAAAACCCAGGATTTGTTTCTGAATGAGCCAAAAATCCCACACCATAGGCACCAACACACCATATGTAAGGTTCGTTAAACGTAGCCCACTGTTTTAAACATCGTCACCAAAGTTATCAAAACATATTCGTGCATAGTTGGTGAACCATTCAACGATGGATGAATTTAAGAATCCTCCATACAGTGATAGTTTGTGAGGAAGATCAAAATGTACCAAAGTTACTAGAGGCTCAATGTTATTTTCTTTCAATAGTCTAAATAAGTTCTTATAATGATTTATAGCTATTTGATTGGGTTTGCCTTCGTTGCCTGAAACGAAACATATAAGATAAAAACTCTTATATACTTTTGTATATTTCAATATGCTTTCTTTTCTTACCAAGCTTTAAATGACAAAAATGTTTATAATAGTTGTTCCTAAAAAAATAATAATGCAATTATAATTATTTGTGAAGCATGTGAAAACAATGTTCTCCTTCTCTTATTGGAGGTTGAAAATAATTGTGGTGATTTTAATTATCAAAATCCACAAGGAAAATATTTCCTGCAGCTGGCTGTATACCACGTATCACAAAAAGAGGTTAAATTTTTATAAATGGATGTCCAATATCAAATCTTCAGAATTCATATCCGAAATTGGACAGTATAATTTTATCACCCAGTAGACCGAATGAATTTATTTGTTATTAAATACACACACGTAGTTAATTAGGTTACATACGGATTTGGTTAATTATCAACAATATAATTTGGACATCAGTCAAAAGTGCTGACAAAGTTAAACAATTTATATAAATTAGACACACATATCACGCGAGGCCCGCGAATATATTGACCCAATTAAAACTTATATAAAACTAATATCTCTTGCCTAGAGAAGCATTCAATCAATATTCACTCAACAAACTTGATAGTCTTCAGCGATCAACTGAACAGTCTCTACTCAAAGTAATCCCGGGTCAACACCCATAGTGTACGTCTCATCAATAAACTCTGCTACTATTATTTGGTGTTTCCATTACAACTGAACGAACATCTCCACTGAGCCAACGAAGGGGATTTGTTCAATGGGTATATTTAAAATATACCCATTTACAAAGATTTAACCCCTTTTTGATTTTAATTATATTCACAGCTATCCTGAATAATTAATATTTCATATTAAACCACTTTCTTAAATTTTAAAGCAATTTTTAGGAAATTCCTCTTTTTAGTACTGCGCTTGCCTTTTATCTTTTCTTCCATTATTAGATGTATTAGTTTTCTTTCCAACAAATTAACTATGTTGAAACTAATAAAAGAAAATGCAATCAAATGAGAAAATTTGGTTAATTACGCATTAAGAATTACACAATTTACTGTGTAGTCAGTCAGTCAATTTCGATTTAAAAATTTTTAAAATAGAGACTGTACACTTCCCGTCATTATAAAACTGGTACACTTTTTTTCCCAATGTAAACCTGTGTTCAGAAATCAATTCGTTGTTGCCATTACAGATAACGGAATTGCACTAAATCTAAATAAAAAGTAACGTTCAAAAATGTATAAAATTTTTAGATAGGTATTATTTTTATAATAATATATATTACCAAAAAAAACTGAATTTAAAAAATTTAATAAGCAGAGATAGAGTTAAGTTATTATCCAAAAGGTTTGAAAGATCTTTAAACCTAGGGTATTGGCACAGGGAACATTGGAATGCATTACTGTAATTTTATACTTCAATACCTACTGAACTCGAACTGTATTCTGTGTCAATAAGTTTTGTAACAAGCAAACAGATTAATTTATTATTTATTACGGGTGGCCGCACACAGAAAGAGCAAAACTGTTTTAGTCAAAAACGTTTTTGACTAAACGAGTCTGATGCTGATGTTTCCATATAAATGAAATGAGCGACGCACACTGATTAGTCGTGTGTCTAAAGCATGTTTAGGCTCATTTAGTTTCAGTCAGTCTGTTTGCTGTTGATTACCTGATCGTCGTTTTGTCTCGAAACATTTCAATGTACGTAGGCGCAACGTGTTTTTGGAATTCACTTCTTGAAACCGCTCGAGTATCAACAAGAAGCACATATGGAAACAGCGATATTTTGTGTTTTTGTCTTGTAGGAGGAACCACTGCCAGAAAACTAGTGCAATTTCGTCGTTATCTGTCGACATCTAATAAAACTGATGGGAGTATGGTTTGTGCAAACATTTTGTTTCTCTTGAAAACAAAATGTTTCTTGTGGAAACAAAAACGTTTTCGTTTCAAACAAAAACGTTTTTGACTAAAACAGTTTTGCTCTTTCTGTGTGCGGCCACCCTACAAGAACGATAAAAAACGTAAAAAACTAATATACTTTATCCTACGCATTATATACTAGGAAATATTCGGTGCGACAAAACGCTTTTCAAAACGTAACAGTTACAATCCAATATCTCATTGTAATGTCACAGAATAATAAACAATCAGAATGCCCACTCTCCATGGAAATTAAGTACCCGCATCTTCTTCGCGCAGACGTTCCGCCATGTTTTAGAGGGAACCAGTGTTGTTTATGTGGTGTACATAGAAAAATTAACCCTGTTTATTTGACTTACGGCAATCATAGACATACTATACAATTACCATTGTTTACCATTTAACAATTAACATTGTTAAATATAATAACATAAATATAATATAATTAAACATAAATATAAACAATTACATAACCTCACAAATCATATGTCTGTGTTATGTGTTCCCTTCTAAAACATGGCGCGCGTGCTGAAAAACTTTAAAGGCGGCATCTGAGAGTGGACATTCTGATTGTTTATTATTCTGTGGTAATGTTTTATTATAATAATTTGAAGTTTGTCTAGATTGATTATCTGTCATTATTTTTGAATTGAAATATTTTCATAAATTGTTATAAAACACAAATCAATGTATGGGTACTTAATTGGGATAATGGAAAATTACAAAATTAATGCGAGAATTTTTTAGGATTCATGTTTAAACAAATTTAATGTGACTGACTGATCGAGAATGCTCGATCATGTTTTAGTTTTTAGTATACTCAAAACTAGTGGTCTGTCACACAGCCTTGCTTTTAATTGGTTTTAATATATTTTCGTTGAACTGGCAACGGTGCCCTAGAAATCAGAATGACACATGTGACAAGCTCAACGTACACAACTAAAAAAACACGATTTTTGATTATAAGAGTTTGTACCAGTTTTTTATGACGGGAACGGTACAAGAAATATTACAGAAATATCTGTTATATTAAAAGATGATAATAAAATATGATTTTATGTATAAAAACAAAAAATTGATTTAAATTTATTGATAGATCGATTTTTTAATGAAAGAAACACACCACTTCACTTAACTTCCTAGGAATAGAAAAAGAGTACTCAAAATAGGTTGAGCAACCGGTCAATCGGATTACAATTTCGTCTATACTCCGACATCGTTGAATTCTCTGCCGGAATGGCCGGTAGAGGCGAAAAATACAGTAGTCGCACTCAAGGATAAAGAATTGGGTAGCCGAACTAGGAAGATCGTTTCTAACTAGGAATGAAACTGTGATGACTTGGAGATCGTCTCTAAAGATGGCGAACTTGGATAAAGAGGGATAAAC